ATCCATTCTAGTAGTGTTGCGATTTCGACATCTCCGGAAGCTTTGTATTCGCCGCCATCCATGACAATGGCAAGGTTCTCCACAGATGATTCTTTCTGCAGCTGGAGAGGGTATCAAAGTCTTTGCAGACAAGGCGCAAGGAGTAGTCATCCTTTGGGAGATATGAAGCTATAGCGATCAACAGTTCGGTAGGAAGGTGGAGAATCCATGCAATGGCTGGCAGGACCGCCTTTTTATGAGCAGGCTCTTCTGAACGTAGACCGGACTGTGACTGATCCATTGCAGTAGGAGTGTTGAGGTTTGTGCTATCGATAAGAAAGCTATCGATACTATAAGAGAGTACGCCGATGGATTGCCTTGAACTTGACTTTTCCTACGAAGCTGCACCACTCACGACTGACATGATTGTCCATGTAGCTCGTAGTCGGACAGATCCACTATACAAGCGATCACCAACTCAAAGTGTACGAGTAGGTGCTATTCGACCAGACTGTACATGGAAAGTACATGGAAGAAGTCACGAACACTGCATTATTGCCAAGCCTCAAGTGGGTCGCCTGTCGGCGATAACGGATAGGACAATTGCAACTAGCCGCCCGAAAGCCAGAAACGGTTGCGGCGAGAATACCGGGTAGTGAACACGGCATTCGCTATTTCAGACAGACATGGACTGAATATTGTAATATATTGCATGAGTGAATAATATAATAGAGCCAAGAGTGATATGGTCGGACGGGACCGAAGACGCAGCAATGGGCATAACGAACACAAACGAGGTGCGTGGAGTGACATCAAGAATTTTGATCTGTATACGTTCCGATGCCGCACCGCATTGCCCTTCGTCGGGTATAAGCTTTCCCAGCATCTCGGGCAATTCGGTGGCCATTGTTCCACCGAGACAAGTCACAATATCTACTCGAGTACATCTCACGCCATTTACTTGGTCGACGCGAAGATAACTTACAAGAGCTTTTCTGCTTGAAGAACGTATTCTGGCCATAGTGACCTTTCAACTGGCCTCTTCAATGTTGTGGTACACAGAACAAACACTACCCTTACCTGACCGACTCTCTGTACACCGCGATGAATGCCGAACATGAGAAGCCGGCTCGAGTCGAGTCACGCGAGGGCTACGATGAAGAAGTAGAAACACCATTTCACAGCGATCAAAGTGACAAATTCGAGTCATCGAATCCTGAATTGGCGGGTGAAGAATTGAAACGGACCGTTTCGTCTAGAAATCCACCGAATCCTCTATGCTTGCGTTGTAAACAAGGCCTGACCAACGAGGAATCTCAACTATGTGAGGTCCACGATGGCTATATCACAGACCCGAACATCATTCTATGGGATGGTGATGACGATCCAGCAAGACCTCAAAACTGGCCATTGGGGAGTAAACTTGCCTTTACAGCAACAGCTTCCCTCTTCGTTGCCGGAGTATCATTTTCGTCGTCAATATTCGGTCCTGCCACTCATGTGACGGCAGCTGAATATGGAGTGGGCATTGAAGTCATGGATCTTGCTGTTTCCCTACATATTCTAGGATTTGCCTGCGGCCCTCTGATTTTCGGTCCCATGTCAGAAGTCTTCGGGCGGACAATCCCTCTCTGGGTAGGACTTTTCGGTCTAGGCATTTTTCAGATTCCGGAAGCCGTCGCCCAGAATGTCCGCACCATCCTCGTATCGCGGTTCTTCGAGGGCATGTTTGGAAGCGGTATCTTCGCCGTTGTCAGTGGCATGTTTGTCGATATATGGCACCCTATTAGCCGCGGTGTCGCTCTTGGTCTTTCAGCTACCGCTATCAATCTTGGTTCTACCATCGCGCCCATCTTTAGTGGGTTTGTGGTTCAAAATCTTGGATGGAGATGGACCGCCTGGTTGACACTCATCTACTGCGGCACGATTGGCTTTGTCGGTCTATTCACCATTCGCGAATCCTTCGAACCTGTCTTGCTCTCCCGCAAAGCCAAGCGCTTGCGTTTTCAGACTCAAAATTGGGCGCTGAGGGCCAAGTTCGACGAACAACCTGTTGATGTCAAGACGTTGATTCAAAAGTATCTCACCAAACCGGTCAGGATCATCATCAAGGAGCCTATTCTCATGCTTCTGACGGCCTATCTCACGCTGGTCTATGGCATCTTGTATCTCTCGTACCAAGCTATTCCCTTTTCTTTTCAACGTCGGGGTTGGAGTCCGGCTGTAAGTCAGCTACCTTTCATCGCTGTTTTGCTGGGTATCCTATCTGCTTGGGGACTCTTTTCATTGTTCACCGTCACTTGGTATAAGAAGAAATGGTCCGTCAATCGTTCAGCCCCGCCTGAGTGGAGATTACCACCGATGATCTTGGGCTCTTTGATGTTGCCGCCTGCATTGTGGTGGTTTGGATGGTCGCAGGACACGCATTGGGCGTGTCAAGTTATTGCTGCATATTTCGTCGGCCTTGGCTTACTCCTCATCTTCGACACCGGTATTGTGTATCTGGTTGATGTGTACTTACTCAACAGCAACAGCGCCATGAGTAAGTTCTGCCACACTGTCAAATCCTTTCAAGCATATCAGCTTATCGAGAATCAGGTATCCACGTCGTCTGTCGAAGCATAATCTCCTGCTCCTTTCCACTTTTTGCAGGACCAATGTACTCAAACCTGGGCACGGCTTGGGCAAGCACGGTCCTCGGCTTTGCATGTCTCATCATGGTTGCAGCTCCACCGGTGCTTTGGTTCTATGGCGCTAAAATCAGAAGTTGGAGTCGTTTCTCCATGGCATAAATGGCATAACGTATCCATAATCTCTAATTAGCTCTACGATAGATATGTCGACATGAATCTAATTATAATCCTCACCAGTCGATGTCTTCGTTTGTCATGATCATGTATACCCTCGTCTCGTCTAAAACACTTATATGGGTCGTTTTTGAGGATCTTGTTACAGAGTTGGGATTGGCATTCGTCACTGTATGAATGTCGCGAGAGCGTCAGCCTATTCAATATTTTCATTCTGTGCTTCCATCGCACATTCATTTTCCTATCCTCAACAAAACAAGTGACACCGGACTCGCCTCTGTGAAGCTAATCCGCTGACTCAGATTCACACGCCCGCCGGAGACGCTATGCTCGTGAAGTACGCTTGTGCTATTCACCAATACAGCTTTACTCGGCACATCATGATCCTGTTGCCTACTCTTATTCGAGTCATTGCTGTTTCCAGCATGACGGACACCTAGGCAAAGGCGAGGAAGTCCTCTTACGGCCCTTCTGTCACAGCAATCGTACCAGGCGCCGGAATAGAGAGTACTTCTGGTGGAGACGATACTTTGATTTGGACACTTTGAAACCTGTTCCGCAGCACTTCATGTGTCACTTTCGCTATCCTATAGTGGTCGACATTTCTTCGTGGAACGGCGGAAATAAGGGCTGGGTTGCCTTGAAAGATGTTGAAATTGCATGACCAGCGATTCTCAAGATGTACGAGTTAAGGGAATTTCAAGTAATGAAATGAATAAGGTAGTCAAGACGACGCGACGTCCACAGACAGGCATGAGAGGAGGTTTAAAGTGTCCAAAATGACGGAATCCTTGCACGCGTTGGTGTGGCTGAAGCTGGCGCCACACCTCCGCAGATCATTCTGGGGAAAGATGCAATAGAACATTTCCACCTTCACAATGCCAGTTCTGCTCTTCTCGTCATCATCGCCTTCAACCAAAATATGGACGACGACATAGGAATAAACCCCGAGATAGCAGCCACAATGGGCTTTGGCAGTTTCGGGGCACAACCACAAAACAAGCGTCGCAAATTCACCCACAATGCCGTTGTTGAAGGCCAGTCAGACGTCTCGAACAAGAGCGCGAAACCGAGTGGCAGTGGCGCAAACACGACGATGTTGGGTGTTCGATCTAAGCCTCCGCATATCTCGTCAGCAGAGCCTCTACAGATAGACGGGAACGGCACAACTCAAGACGTGGATAGTGCTGCAGTAAACGAGGAGTCAAAAATTAAAGAGAAGGCCAAGATCAAGGCCAAGGGAAAGAAAGGAGGAGCACCACTAGGACTGGCAGACTATGTGGCATGGGGGAACAAAATCACGCCTCAGACCGTACCACAAGCACCACAGATTAACACTGAGAGCGCAGTCTCCTCAGCAGAACCGGCATCAAAACCTGCTGCGGAACCTCATGTCAACAATGCTACTACCACGCAAAATGGAGGAGCGGGAGCAAAGTCATGGCCGCAGGGTATGCCAGATCAACAAGAGCTCGCTGCGTTGAGAAGAGGTATAAAGAATGCAAGAGGGGACATGGCTTACTTTCTACCGAGCTTCATTGAAGATCCTTGGAATGGCCTGGCCGGATGAGACAGGCTTGAATCCCCTGTTACACACAACAAAATACCCTCGCAACAATGCAGCATGCCACTTTTACTCCACGGCATTGAGATCCTGCATACGGTTTTCAAGGCTGAGAAAGGAATCAGTCCTCCTTCCCATTGGCACGGTCTTGGCTCTTGCAATGTCAAAGCCATGTACTAGGTGTGCGGAACTGCCATGAAAGTCGAATATATCTGGAGCTCTCAGTCTGGCTACATGAACGGGCAAACAATCCCAAAGAGCCACGCGTACCAAGAACAGCTATCAGCGGGACTCAAGGCGAAGATTGTGTTACAGCACTAGTCGCTAAAGGATACACCAAAGGTTCTGATCCTTGAAGAAAGGCATGCTTGTGCACATGCGAACGACAACCTTCTCTGGACATCAATCAGCAGTCTGGCACACTGCAGTCACGAAGTGGACAAAGCAGCAGAGTTCTTAGGACAGAGTCATAGATTTCCATAGCTCCAATCATGACCTTCTGTCCAGGATAATTGCTGATTTTGCCTCGTGATCCGCCAAATCACAACTTGCGAGTTCTAATCGATTGTCAGATACGCTTTAAAACCGTCAAACTCAAAGGTATATAATCCGAAAACATCATCCGAATTATCACCGAGTTACTCAAAAGCAGCTGAGTGGCGCAGCGGAAGCGCGTAAGTTCACACAAACAAAATTCTCCACTTAGTCATCAATACTGACAATCTTCACAGGCCGGGCTCATAACCCGGAGGGCCTCGGATCGAAACCGAGCTTAGCTACTAAGCAACTCATCTTTTTTGCTCTTTTTTTGTTGCCCTGATTCTGTCTGACATTATGAAAAAGGAAGTTTTTGGAATTGGTGATGTTTCTTGTTTGAATATTTGGTCGTGTGGAAAAGAAAATGATTGTTCTGGGGTTCGAATGCGTGACTCATTGGAACTGGAACTTCCTTTTGTGAAGCAGCTGGTCTGAGGTAGTCACCACCCTTGGGAATTCATGCTGAGAATGATAAAAAGACGAACGCAACTGCTCGTGTTCGTCATCATGGAAGCCTCTATTTTGTCATTTCTCCTCTTGGCTCTCTCGGCAGAAAACCCACAGCTGTCCAATATCTCAACTGCAGATGCGGAACGACGTACTTGCTCAGCTTCTTGCCAATATGGTCAGGACGTCTTGTCATCCCCCTTCGTACACTACTATTGCGTCCGGTGTAATGGATCTCTTCGATGCCGCGATGGTTCTATATTTCCTTCTTCACTCATGACCCTACGCATTGCAAGACGAATGAAGAAAGCACGTTCGACAAAGACATGTATGTGCTTTTGTCACCATATCGACCCTCATCGCCATATAAGAATCCATGAAGGATCTTTGGTTTCGATCAGAAGTCTTCATTTCTTCCACTGCTCGGTCGGTCGTTGCTTAACGCATTCTCTGTATAAATGCCAATTGCGTGTACTGAGGGAAAGCAATCAAGCGACAAGATTCGATATCTGTTATAGGCCTCTGAAACCCGAGGGATGAATGGTCTGAAAAGTGAATAACAGAGGTGCCTTGGTAGAACTGTTCTTTGCATGGACCCGGGTGGAGCGTGGTCGTTGCTAGATGATTCACTTGTCCACTGAAAGCTCTACAAGGACTATATAATGCCAGCCACAAGCGCAACTTCATCCTCTTCCTGATGACCACAAGGTTCTTGCGTCACAAAGGCAGTGATACACTCTCCGAAGTTTTCCAAGTCTGAAACTTGTCGACAACGGGAGAATGCTGGGGTAAGTACATGTTGCACAATGACTTTGCGCATAACGACCATTCGCATGATCCCTACACGTTAATGCTTTTTTACTACATACCCTCCCGAGCATGAGACTGGCTTCACCTGTTAGCTTATACGCTACTGAGGGGTGCACCCGGTCTCCGCTTCATGTATGACCATACTTTCCCATGGTTCTACATCGCACACCGAATCGCAAACCGGTGGCGATATGCTCGTTGCAATACTCCTCTCTACCCGTGGAACCAAGACAGATTTCGGAGAGGAGACCAACTGCGTTGTCTGCTTCGAGGACCTCCGAGAAGGTTAGTGTACACCCCCCCCCCCCGCGCCTCCTATGACTTCTTACACCACATGACAGCTAATGACCCTACAGCCATTCCTGAGGACCCGGCCTTGCAGCTTCCATGCAAACACTTCTTGCACACCGAATGCGCCACGTTTTGGTTTGCGATACCCAGGAGGGACAATCCTCAGTGTCCTATCTGTCGCTCTTCTGTTTCTGCTGTATAGGCGAAGTTGATCAAGATGTGAGAAACGTGCGAAGCAATGCACCATCATCGATATTGTACATATACAATGAAACTGGGAGGAGACGCTGCTTTGTCTTGGAATACAATCAATATGACCATTTCTCGTCTCACTCCCGGCTGCCGTCCTTTCTGCCGTACTGGATACTTGGTTTTGCCGACGATACAGCCATAGGGATTTCTAAGAAATTCTGGGGTGGTTTTTAGCAAATACGTGGTCTCGAAACATGAGAACGTAGAACATATAACGCGGGCTCGGACGCTGTGTTGTCTATCAGAGGACGTTTTCCAGGTCTTGAGATGATGCATTCTGGGTATCCAAACATGGGTATCCAAACATGGATATCCACGTCTCTGTTTCTGTGCGAAAAGTAAGGAATAGCTAACCGACGTGCCCGCGCATCCACCTGATCCAACAGAAGATGAGACCGCCATCACAGGAGTCTTGTATATGTCATATGGCGTCAAAGAGATCTTTCTCTGGGCCCCAGTGGATGGTGATATGCTAGTTTGGCATGTGTGACCAGATAGATTCTGAGACGAATATGACACAAGAAGACTGCAGTCCCATCCTCGAACCTCTGATTTATGAAAGATTGATCAGTACAGATCGCCTGATGGATTACCTGAGTGGTAGTTCTTGGGTATCTACAGGGACGAACTATGTGGAAGTATCGAAGTATCGAAGCTTGGAAGATTGAGGATCACAACATTCATGAAGTACGTACGCACTACGCAGACTATACACCACAGATGTCATAATGTAGATGTCATAATGCAGTAACCTCGTCAGAATGGTCAACGTGTCTTTTTATTCCTAATTCAATCTAGTACAATCTAGTCGAGAGAACACGGGAATTTGGGCTGTGAGGCGTGTCTATCGGTTTGATCTGGAGTATTCATGAGCACCTCCGTTGCATAGATATTTCTCCGATTCAGTAATCTCATCTCGAAAGGGGTTTCAGTCTTTCGCCCGGAAAGGTCATTTCATCGCTTTATGGAGTTGCGTCAGACGAGGCTGGGACATATTGGATGTGTCATGAAGACAAGATGCATAATTCCAGATGGTTTCTGTGGTTGGCGGGCCCATTGAGGTCGATGAGACGACGATAGATGAAGGTGGCGCAAATAGAGGTGAGTTGTTGAAGGAGGCGTGCCAGATCAGAATTGTCGAGGCAGAGTAAGAATGGCAGCCCAACGTCTACATCATTCCCAATTCAACACTGAGATCTGCCAAGAACAGATGCTCGCCGGCGTTTCCTTCCACCTTCATCATTGCCTTGCGCAGGATGTCTCTAGACTGTCCCCCCGGTCCACTGCCATAAACCTGCTCACCGAGCATTTCCATCTGCATCGGCATCTTGTCGTCGCCATAGTGCTTGATGATATCGCCTTTCTCAGGTCCAAATCTCAGCGAGTACCAGTCATCAGGCTTGTCCATACCCAGAGCGATACACTCTTTGGCTTTCTCGGCAGACCACCAAGGCGGTAGAAGTCCCGCTCTGCAAGGCTCAGGAATTGCTTGAATGCTGGCAGACTGTGAGGCTCGCCAGCAAACACACTGTCCTTTGTGTTCTTCTGTTCGAGGTTGTAATTGTCGTCTAGACGAACACGGCAGGTATCGATGAGAAGCTTGTAGACATCGTTCTCCGAACGGTCGTGCAGCCAGGTACCAGCATCCAACTTGTGGTAGGGCTTATCGATAGTGACATCAAGAACTTTGGATGATCTGGAATTGGTGCCGGGCGTGGCAGAATTGGTGCCGGGCGTGGCAGAATTGGTGTCTGAGCCGCGTCCACATACTTTCTTGTGTGCTTTCCAATGGGCTTTCTGACAGTCTCGAGAGCAATAATGTTCAGAGCGGCATTTAGCACATTCTTTGAGATTCTCTGTTTTGGTGCAGTTTGCGCACTTCGACATGGTGATTTTGAGGGAAGCGGAGTGACTTCTTGATGATAACGTGTAGCGCGTGAAGGGATTAATGCATCCAAAGAATGAATGAAAGGGCAAACAGAATGAACAGGAAGGGTGGACCATGCCACTTTTGTTTCTGTTTGAGCTAGCTTACACGAGGGCGCTAATGGCGGGGTCTCTGGAGTTTGCTTTACAAGGGCCCATTCATGTCACCTGCTCAGCTTGTCAATCCAAAGCAGCATTCCGTCGTGCGCATGTACACGTTCACTTGCAAGTATCGGAAGCAAGTTTCGCAGTCAATAGCACAGGTCTTCATTGTATACGTTAAGTTCAACAAAGCACCGCAGGCGAGCACAAGCAGGCTAGTTTTGATGGCACAATCGCCAAAACCTGCCATGGATGATACAAAGATGCGATTTTTGTATGAAGATTGTCAATCTCGATGCTTTCTACTAGGACAAAGTAAGAAACGATACAGGTGCAGTGGGTATCGACGTGTCTGATCTGCTTGGAGAAGGAAAGCTCGACGATGATGAGTCAGAACATCAGCATCCTTGGCGCCCTAGGGCAAAGGACCTGGCGGGTCATGTCTTTCACCCTGTACGAGTGACAAGATCCCTTGATAAGCTTTAAATGCGAGTGCTGTTGCTACGATCTACAGACTTTTGTAAGGCATGTTTCTGCATTTTCAGCCCTCGAATTGAGCTTTGGACACAATACCGCTGATTGTGAATATATCGCGTCTATCAAAACACCTGACCATGCATATGCATTGCGATGCACCAAAGTTCTTCTCTTCATGCCGCTATGCATTCCATGCTATATCACTTCTTTGCTCCCTTTTCCCGTTCCACTCTATCAAAAACCCCTCCCAACAATGCAAGCCACTCCCGTTGTCTCTCCCCTAGCACACGTTCAGGGTTCCGCAATGTCCTAGCAAGAACATCTCTGATTCTACTCCTCAAGATCTTGAGCACAATCATAGTTCTCCAGCTCAGCACTTTGAATCTCAAGCGATTGCCATCAATGATGATTACACCACTCCACAGATCAAATCTTGCATCTCCTGCCAGCAGGACCAAAGCCATTGCTTCAACAGGAGAAGTCTCCTGTGCGTTGGTAAAGCGTGAGGCACTTTGCATAATGGAGTAGAAAGAAAGGTATTTGGCCTCTACACCGCCCTTGTTCACAGATGTAGGATGTAAGGAGATGCTTTGGTTATTGCCCACATTCCTCCATCCCTTGCCATCTCTGGCTAAGACTTTCGGATAAAATGACCAAGCCGTGACCGAATTGAGCAAAAGGTCGTTCTCGGAGTTTTGGTTCTTATCCACTGGAATAGGGACGAAGAAGCGTTGGCGGCCGTTTCCTGCCCGGACCTTTCCAAGTGCTTGTTTCTCGGTGCTGTCCAGCTGTACAAATCCGGCTTCAAGAAGAGAGGACAACAGTTGCCCCTTCAAATCCTCGATATTCGATAGATTCTGTGAGGAGAGGAAGTTCTTTTTGCAGAATTGGAACTCGGAGAGACCAGGAGTTTGGCAGACCTTCTTCCAAGCCAGAT